TTTATCTTCATTTTTAGGTTGTATAGTTTTGCGGTCGATTTTTCCTCCTATTTTCTCTGTTTTTCGTGTTTTTCCGGTGGTGCGATTTCAGGTGTTGAGTTGATCGGATTGGTGAACGTTCATTCGGATGAGAAGTGGATGGTTCGAACATAATTTTGTGGGACCCAGGCATGCGAGGATCGAATTTCCAGCTCGGGCAGTACCCGAGCGACGTAGCCGAGCAAGCTAACTGTAGAAAAACGAGGGCAAAAATTTTGGACAACGGGACCTTAGCGCCGCTAAGGCCTTAGCGGCGCTAAGGCCCCTGTATTAGCGGCGCTTTTGAATTGTTCGAGTACTGAGACGGGCAGCTAACATGGCTTAGCGGCGCTAACCCCTTAGCGCCACTAAGGTCCGTTTTGTAACGGCTGCGTTTTTGTTGGGATTTCAAAATGGAAAGGCTTATGATCGAGTTAGGGCTGATTGTAACTTATTCTGACTTGGTTTTTTCTCAGTTTTTCACCTTAGAACACATCTCTTCTTTACTTTTTCATCTTGGATTTGATCTTGGAGCATAAAAACTCCAATTTTAGCTCGGATTTCAGTTGTTCGTTGCTTTCCCTTGACATTAGATTTGTTATTAATCGTAAGCACCTCTCTTCATTTTGTTTATGAATATGATGTTTGGTTTGATCATGAATGTTGGTGTTAAGATTGCAATGAGTGGCTAATTCCAATAACTAAGGTTAGGGGATAATTGTTCCGGTTCAATTTCGTTGTGCGATTGTTGATTGCTCAATCTAGACTAGTTATGCTAAACCTAGGGTTGAATGTTTGATCTCCATTGAACCCATTTAATCGATTTTAAAACTGAAAGGGGAGAAATCGATCGACCTTGTCTTGTTTAGAATAGGCTTGTTCGGAAACGTATTGTCTATTTGTTAATGAATTCGATAATTGCTCGTTTATGTTTATTCTCTTGTTTCGTGAGATATTGAGAATGAATCTCTATATGAATTGGTTATTGCTTGTTCATTAGCTGAGTAGTTAATTGCCCGTTTAATGTATTGAGAACCGGTAACGATTGTCCCCGACACCCTAGTCCGTCTATACCATTTGAATTTGCAAGTTTGAAATTGCTAGCTTGTTTTTATTATTCGTAGTTGATAATCAAAAACCCCAAATTTGAATTAGAGTGTTTAGGACATTCTTTTCCCTTTTCTTGTGATTGAATATCCGTACATATAATCCGGCTAACCTTCCTCGTGATACGACCCGGTGCCGAATCTTTCGATTCTACTCCGGTAAAAATATTTACAATAGTTGGGAAGGGATAAGGTTCTAGAGAGAGAAGCTAGAGGGATGAACGAGCATTTTGACTATCTCATCAGCCTTGGGAATGAAACCATCGAAAGGAGGTCTTGGATGAGAATGATTTCTTGCTGAGTATATTCTCCCACAAAGGTTCAAAAGTGTATGTTGAGAGTGGAGTTTCACTATTCTTCCGCAGCTATATATTGGATTATATTCGCATAACTCGGTTTTGCAGGAATTAGTTTAATCCACTATTATGGCCGACTATGTGTTTGATAAATGTTGTTGATTGTGATGTATGGTTTTAAATTTGTTTTTAAAGTCTCGGATATATCGAGAAATTTAATGGATGAATGTTTGTAATAATTATTGACCCAAGGGTTGACAGGATAAATTTAATTATATTGTTTACAAAAACATGTACATCCATTCGTTGGATCTAGGATCGAATAATGTAATTTTATAAATTATTTCTTTCATGTGGTGATCGTGGTTTAATTGTCAGGAGATGACAAGAGATCAACGAGCCTCGAAAATCCAATCGGACCGGAGCGGCTGGCGGCGGCTAGGGTTGAGGTGTTTTACTTGGTGGGCAAGCAGTATGTATCAACCAGGATTGTACTGCAGTCGAGTTCTAGTGGAACAGGGAAAGAATATACAAGGTTTCCTTGTTTATGGGAACTCAATATTTAATGACCATAATAGTGGATTTATTTATTAAGATTCACTATGCCATTATTTATTTATTTATTTATTTATACATGTTAATTAATTATTGTATTTGCATGAGATTAATTTGGAATTGCATATTTATTTATGCATGTTAAATAACTATTGCATTTACATAGGATTAATTTAGAATTGCATAAATATTTAATAAGTAAAAATCCTCATTTAAATTATACTAAGTTTGAGAAGAGATTTTTTAAATTAAAGTTAATTGTAAAATTCCTAAGGCCTCCATTTCTAATTTTTCGATTGCGGCATGGGCTCCCCCTCGGGTGACATTACTAAAATTAATTGTAGGTAATTAACAGGACAAATTTCTAATTACACAATTTGTGGGATTCTTATGAGAGAATACGGGCTTCCCCTCGGATGACGTATAATAAAATTCGTATGAACTCAGGATCGAGAAATGAGATTCACTTAGAATGTGATTAAATTTATAGCTCCCATCGGGGTCCATGAATTCTACTGCATGGCCAAATGGTGACCGATTATTAATTTCATTCGTCATGAATTTAGTTTTTGTAAGTTCTAAATATTGGTAGTAAATCTACGAACCTTTTTGAGTTCCCAGGATTCAGACAATCGCAAGAATATTCATGGAATTACTTAGAAGTATTTTTTTATTTAATTAGAGTTGATTATTGATAATACATGTTTGTTATGGCAGGACCATGAGAATAAGCTCGAGATTCACCTTCCATAATTACGAGAGAGAGATCGCGACTTTGAGCATCAAAGACTTACCTTAAGTACATTCTGTCTTGGAGGGAAAGAAAAAGAGAAGACTTACCAAACGTATCTCGAAGATAAAAGGAAGATTGTTGGACTGTTGATCTTTGATTATTTTTCTAGAGAAAATTACAAAGTGTGTCTATTGTTCATCTTTGGGATTTAGTTTTTGTTTTTATGTGTTGAATGAAGTGATTGAAACTGGAGAGATTATTTTGGTGAGAAATTGAACAGAGTGTTCGGAGGTTTATTCTGATAGAGTTTGAGGGATTCAAACTAGAAAAGCCACAAGGGATTTGTGGTCGGTAAGTAATAGTGCGAATCACTATTCAAGTAGAGTGTAGAGGGAGTCTATACTGTAAACTCTTGAAGAGTGTTTGTGATATTTGCATTAATGAAAGAGATATGTAGGGAAAGTGGGACACTCTCCTGAAGGTTCAATTTTCAGTGAAACTGCTACCGCTTTTGTTTGAATCTTCTCTTACTTCTGTTTGATCAAATTGTTCGCAACTCTGGATACTTGGTATACGAGTATCAAACTTCAATTGGCACCAGAGCGGGTTTTCGTGTGGAT